GCTCAAGCAATCCTCCTGCTTTGGCCTCCCAAAGTGCTGGGATTACAGGTGTAAGCCACCACGTCCATCCCTAGTTGTTTTTCATGACTATCTTGCCTCCTCATCAAGGATGGGAATGCCTCAGGATTAGTTAGTCTTCTGCTCCATATTTATTTTTCCATAGTGTCTAGTGTTGTGCTAGACAAATTTTTATTGCTAAACATAGAATTTGTGAATTGGGAGAAAACAAACCATGGGACACAAATGTCATTAGTATCTAGAAGGGCATTACTTATCGGGAAAAATTTCCCTGGAATGTGACAAGTAAAAGCTGTTGGTTAAAGACAGTAGCACTTTTCTGTTGTAAAGAAAGGGAGAGAGGTAGGAATAATTGAGGACAAATAGTTATCCCGAGGTTTTGGGATGGTTTAGATGGTTCATCTTCAGGCAGGTACCCAGCCCTATGTAGGGGAACTCCAAATACGCTGTCAATATAGCAATGGCCTCCAAGTTTGCAGAAAACAGAAAGCAGACTTACAGGGGATTTTAATATCACAGGTATTGCTACACATCAAAGTTACAATTGGATTTAAACTCCATCTGAATTTGGGGAGTGACCCATACCAGTGAATCAGAGACCAGACTAGAAACCCTGGTAGACCCTCCTGCCTGAGCCCAGGACAAGCTGGAGACCAACACGGCTGAATGCCAGTGAGGCAGGAAGCCATGTGGCAGGAGCCCAGGAAAGGACCCACAGGCCTTATCCTGCCTCAGTACCTGGTTATTCAGGAAAAGTCGGACGGACAGACTCCACTGGGAAGAGGTGCTTAAACCTACCACACAGAATAGAGTTTACTAATAATGGTGGGATCCAGTTCTGCCATTTACCAAATGCCCATTGTGTGCCAGGTATCAGGAAAGGCGCATCACAAAATCTCCCTTCCCTCACCATAAACCAACAAGATGGTGTTATCTCTGCTTTAGCGATGAGGAAACAGAAGCTCAGGTGCTCACACAGTGATAAGCTGTGGAGACTTGACTGTTCGCTCACCTCTGTATGAGTGCTCGGGCCCTCCGGAGCCTGAAGAGGATGTTAGAACCTTGTGAGGCCTACTGAGGCCATGGAAGGTCTGGCCTTTATTCAGCAGGGACATGATAAGCTATTTTTCCTAAGTCTTTTTGTGTTGAAAGTACTCACAGAACAGTGTAGAGTCCTGGTACATAGTTAGTGCTCATTAAAATAAGTGGTGAAGGCTGGGCTGAAGGTAGTGCGTCATCTTAATTGATTGTTCACAGTCAGTTACAGATAATACTCCTTGTTCTACTCTTTCCTCGCTTCTCACTACTGCACTTGACTAGTCTAGTCTTAAAAAACATAGGAATGCTTCCATGCCTTAGAGTTATTGACTCATATGTATGTTTATCTATTTGTTTGTTTGTTTATTTATTTATTTATTTGAGACAGAGTCTTGCTCTGTCGCCCAAGCTGGAGTGCAGTGGCATGATCTCAGCTCACTGAAACCTCCACTTCCCGAGTTCACAAAATTCTCCTGCCCCAGCCTCCTGAATAGCTGGGATTACAGATGCACACCACCACGTCTGGCTAATTTTTGTATTTTTAGTAGAGATGGGGTTTCACCATGTTGGCCAGGCTGATCTTGAACTCCTGACCTCAAGTGATCCGCCCACATTGGCCTCCCAAAGTGCTAGGATTATAGGCATGCACTACTGTGCCCGGCTGACTTATATGTTTAAATTCTGTAAATGAACATTAGGAAATATTTGATGAGTTGTGGTCTTCTTTCTAGATTTGTTGATTAGAATTTTAAGTCAAAGTTAACATATGAAAGACTTTAAATCCAAATTTTGTATCCTAAGAAAAGAAAAGGACCCACAGAAATCCTTATGAGCACCAAAATCTGTCTATATTTTGCTGGCACAGTGGTTTATGCCTATGTGATCCCAGCACTCTGGAAGGCCAAGGAGGGCTGATCACCTGAGGTCAGGAGTTTGAGACCAGCTTGGCAAACATAGTGAAACCCAGTCTCTATTAAAAATACAAAAATTAGCCAGGCGCGGTGGTGTGTGCCTGTAATCCTGGCTACTCAGGAGGCTAAGGCACAAGAATCACTTAACCCTGGGAGGCAGAGGTTGCAGTGAGCCGAGATGGCGCCACTACACTCCAGCCTGGACGACAGACTGAGACTTTGTCTCAAAAAAATAAAATGTCTGTATTTGTCTCTTCCTTCTATCTCCTCTGACTCCCTCTACTTTCTTTCCTGTACAGTTAACTTTCTGCAAATTATGCCTATGCCATTAAGGATGAATTCTTCCACCTAGCCTTCAAGATCCTCTATAATCAGGTGGAGTTTTCATACTATTCAGTTTTACCTTCTAATTATGATTATATTATGATAACATGACATTTCACAGTTTTACAGTGCTTCATTTTATTTTATTTTTTGAGACAGGGTTTTGCTTTGTCACCCAAGTTGGAGTGCAGTGGTGCAATCACGGCTCACTGCAAACTCAACCTCCGGGGGTTAAGTGATCCCTCTGTCTCAGCCACCCGAGTAGCTGGAACTACAGGTGCGCACGACCACACCCAGCTAATTTTATTTTTCACAGAGACAGGGTCAACCTCTGTTGCTCATGCTGGTCTCAAACTCCTGAGCTCAAGCAATCCTTCTGCCTCGGCCTCCGAAAGTGCTGAGATCACAGGTGTAAGCCACCATGCCCAGCCAAATGCTTTTTAAAGAGGGACTTTTATAAAGATTACGCATGTTTATCATCTCCAATAACTCCCCAACACAAAACCTCTGCCCTGAGCAGCACAGACTTATCCGCACCCAGATGTGTTACTCTCGCATCTGTAATTTGATTGTGCACTTCCTCTTTTTTTTTTGAGATGGAGTCTCGCTCTGTCTCTCACCAAGGCTGGAAAGCCGGCATGCAGTGGCACGACCTCAGCTCACTGCAACCTCCGCCTCCTGGGTTCAGGCAATTCTCCTGGCTCAGCCTCCCGAGTAGCTGGGACTACAGGTGCGTGCCACCACGTCCAGCTAATTTTTCTATTTTTAGACAGAGTTTCACCATATCGGCCAGGCTGGTCTCAAACCCCTCACCTCAAGAGATCTGCCCACCGCAGCTTCCCAAAGTGCTGGGACTACAGGCATGAGCCACCACACCCAGCCTGTTCACTTCCTCTTAACTAGAATATTAGCTCTGACCTCTTCAAGAACTCAAATATAAAACCTTTCTCAAGTATGAAGATGCTGGGTAGCCCAGTGGTTCTGAGCACTTGCTCTAGAGTCCAAAAGACCAGGATGGGCATCCCAGCTCTGAGACAAACTAGTGAGTGACCCTGGGCAATAATCAGGCTTCAATTTCTTCTTCAACTAATGAAGATAATAATGCCTATCTCATAGAGTTGTTTCAAGAATGAAATAAATAGCCCAGGCGCAGTGGCTCAGACCCGTAATTACAGCAAGTTACCCAAATTACTGCCAAGGTGGGCAGATCACTTGAGGTCAGGAGATCAAGATCAGCCTGGCCAACATGGTGAAGCCCCGTCTCTACCAAAAATACAAAAATTAACCAGGCATGGTGGTGCATGTCTAATCCCAGCTACTCAGGAGGCTGAGGCATGGGAATCACTTGAACCAGGAGGTGGAGGTTGCAGCAAGGTGAGATTGCACCACTGCACTCCAGCCTGGGTGACAGAGTAAGACTCCGTCTCAAAAAAAAAAAGAAAGAAAGAATTGTACATCTAAGTGTTTAACACAGAGACTAATGTAGCAAATCAATAAATATTAGCTACCTTCTTATCAATGTTACTACTGTTAGATGTCTAGGTCGAAGACCTATCTCCTCCATGAACTCTTTAACCACCTTTGCCCACAGCAAATGCCCTTTGAACTCCTACAGCCTGTTCTTTCCCACACCTAATTTTATCCTATGGGCTTGCTGTCTAATTGCTGGTATTTATGTAGGGCCTGACATCTAGCGTTTCCACATCGATCTAAGCATCCAGGGATCATATCTGCTCATTTTTCTATATCCCTCAAGGCTTGTGGCATAAGACTGAGCTCATTGTAGAAAACTGACTAAACCCTTGTTATAATTTACATTTAGAGAAACCCACCCTTTGTTATAATTTATAGTCAGAGACTTTGTCCCACAGGTGAGAACCAATCACCAGTGGCTATTGGAAGCTATAAACATTCCACTATGAAATAACCTCATAACACCACAGGAGCTTTCTTGACTTCCACTAATGATGAATGATTTAACATCCCTAAACAAGACACATGCCTGACTTCTTCACAGCTGGCCAATCCCTCTGCATGTAGCTGGGCTCAGAGAGCTTTATAACTAACACAGGATGGTGCCTCCTGTCAACCTCCACCTTTCCCCAAATAAGGTGACCTTATTTCCTGGCTGCACAGCAGCCTCACCGGTAAAGGAAGGTTAAAGCCAACAGCTAACTATGCCAAGACAACTTGAATTTAATTCATGGTATCAGGGAACAACACAGGCTGCCACAGCTGAGAATTCCTCCCTCTGGGAAGATGAATTAAGTAAATCTAGGAAGAATAATGGTGGTTTCCCAGCCATCTAATAAAAATCAAACACAATATCCAAGGCCCTGGTTCACAGCACCTAAAGGTAGTTTGGGTTCGTATGCCTCAAATGTTTTCTCCAGCCCTTTACCTGGCTTATTTCTTACTTGGCTCCAGATGTTGGATTAATTGTCCCTTTCTCAAATGAACCAAGGGTCTGGATAAAAGACACGAGTCACAACCTGCATTCTCCTCTACCACCCTTAACACATGGTGACTAAGTAACTATCTCTCTGCTCCAGGTCCCTCTTTTCTTGTGTAAGGTAAGATCCATGTGAGTATGGACCAAAACTGTCTTGTTCCCTGCTGTATCCAGAGCTTAACAGAGGGTCTGGCCCAAAGAAAGCATGCACATATGTTTATGTTGAATGAACACATAAGTCGAAGGACCTTGCTGACCTGGTTTTAGGTGCTTTACCAATGATCCCACTTTTTCGACCGTTCCTGAAGCTTCATGTCCCAGCACCATGGGCTTTTTCACGATAAAATTCCCAATTCGACCCTCCTCCCAGTAGTGGACATCTGAGCCACAGATTCCAACAGAATGCATCCTCAGCAACACCTCTGATAAAAGAAAGGAAGAAAAAAACAGTGAGAGAAGGAACAACCCCTATCACTCTGAGGTGCCCTAGTGATTTCCCTCTGCCCAGGGGAGAGGGCTGGGTTACCAGGCCAGGCACACTATTTAGGCCATAGAGGAAAACAAGCTACATAGCAACCCTGATTAAGTCTTGCAAGGCAAACAAGCTTCCACATGTGATGGCTAATTTTATGTGTCCACTTGGCTAGGCTATAATGCCTGGTTGTTTGAAGATACATGTTGGGCATGGTTAGCTTTTAAACCAATAGACTTTGAGTAAAGTAGATTACCCTCCATAATGTAGGTGAGCCTCATCCGATCAGTTTGAAGGTCTTAAAAGCAAAGACTGAGGTTTCCTGAAGGAGAAGGAACTCTTCTCAAGACTGCAACATCAACTCTTACCTGAATTTCCAGCCTGCCCTTTGTACACACACACACACATACATACACACACATATATCTTAGTGGTCTTGTTTCTCTGGACAACACTGACCAATACACTAGATAGAAAAGATATTATTAGTAGCATGAAATGTACCAACCACTTAAGAGAACAAACTATTTTCCAAAAGAAAACTTTCTAGGTAATTAATATGCTATGCATGATTCTTACCTGTTTATGAGAACAAGTCTGGTAGAATCTCAGCTTGGCAACATTTTGTGAACTATTGAGTTCTTCATGCCTATTGTTTTCTTTCCTTTTTTTTTCTTTTTCTTTTTTCTTTTTTTTTTTGAGACAGAGTCTCCCTCTGTTGCCCAGACTGGAGTGCAATGGCAGGATCTCGTCTCACCGCAATCTCTGCCTCCTGGGTTCAAGCAATTCTGCTGCCTCAGCCTCCCAAGTAGCTGAGATTACAGGTATATGCCACCATATCCAGCTAATTTTTGTATTTTTAGTAGAGACAGGGTCTCGCCATGTTGGCCAGGCTGGTCTCGAACTCATGACCTCAGGTGATCCACCTGTCTCAGCCTCCCAAAGTGCTGGGATTACAGGCATAAGCCACCGCGCCTGGCCAGTTTTCTAAGTTCAAAATAATGATGGTACTGTGCCCCTTTGGTGAAATAAGTACCAATAAATACCATCATCTCTGACTGAGATGATGGTTATGAATACCTCCCTGAAAAAAAACACTCTGCCTTAGAAAGACAGAGAGACCCGAATCTCTGCTATGCAGTGCACTTGCCACAGACTACTGGGGTGGCTCTTCAGAACTTTCTTCCTCCTTAGTTTTAGTGAAGAGAGTAAGAAACGGCAGGGTGAATTCTCAGATCGAAGGCAGGGAAAAGTCATTTGAGTTAGGAAAACCATCTCAGAATTTCCTCTCTTGAAGTAGCAACTGGTAACGAGAGATTAGATTTGACTTTGCTAGAACACTGGCTAAAATGCACTCTTTTCCCTTCCGATGCAAGTGTAGCAAGAGACAAGAGTGTGAGCAGAATGCTGCTTCAGGGAGAAAAGCTAAACCAGGAGCCAAGCTTGTACTCTGGGTCCAAGACAGCCCTCGTTCGGCCACTTCTGGAATCAACAGTCAACTTTTCAGGACACAGTGAGGTAACTCTTTCACTTCTCTGAACACGGATCTTGGTGAAAATCCTTGAACCCTGACTATACAATACTTGCTCAGCACCCATAGAATGGCTATATTCTGTCTAGTCTGTATTCTCACCACTTACAAGTCGACAACACAAGTGACCTTTCAGTAGCAAAGCTCTGGATCCACCAGGAAAGCTGCCTTCGATCTGATGTTCACCCAGAAGCTGCGGTTCTGGTGTGAGGTAGGACAAAGTGGGAAAGGACACCCCCAACTTCTCAAGGGTAGAAAGGGGACGTGACTGTCTAGGTGTGAGAAGGGGAGGGTGAGTATCTACAGACACTCTGCCCACTGCCCCCAGCCTCACTTCAGGCTCCTGCATGATTATGACAAAGTGGGATTCCAGGGATGGGAGGGATTAGACAGCTGTCAGCAGGGATCTCAGCCAACAGAAAAAAAGAGATGGAAATGTTCACAGCACCTGCCATGTGCAGACAGTGGGCTGGACTCTATTCTCACCACAGCACTCAGGTTGTAAATGAGAAACCCAAGGCTGGGAAGTTACAGATGCCACCTTGGGCGTCAGCATGTCAGCTGAGCCCCACAGGCTTAGCAAGTGAGAGGCCTGGAAGGAGCGGAGTAAAGGTGTTGGAAACCCTGGCCCCATGTGCTCACTCACTGTCTGTGCTTGGTTGATTAGGGCAGAGGACAGGGCCCCATGCAGCCCCTCCCACCCCCACTGGACAGAAGGTCCTGGGCTGCCGCACACTTCAGTGACTGGCCTTCCTGGGGAGTGGGGAAAGCTGGCATGATGCTCCCTTTGCTAATTAAAAGATGAAGTTCTGTAGACTCACTCCTTTTCAAAGTTTGGGTTAGGGTTAGGACATTTGGCCACTCCAACAGCAGCTTCTGGTAGATAGGGTACACTGTCATTAGGTCAAAAGAGGAACAATTCTGTCACTGGTCCATATACTTCACATCAAAAACTCTTTGGGATGAGTCAGCAATCTGGTACGGTAATTTTTCTGATTCTATCACTATTCTTTTTATTTCATGTAGCAGCCAAGATAAACCTCCCACCAGGTCATGCTGCACACAGTAGACTCCGTTCTCAGCCTAACAAAAGCATAGGTTTTTAATGGACGCAAAAGTAATAAACAGTAGGAAAAGAGAGGTAAGGGAACAATACACATGTGATTCCAAAGGGAACAACAGGAAATAATAAAATATAAGTTATGTTTCCCAAGAACTTACCATTTGGGCCTGGTTCAGGGATGGGATAGTTCTCCTAAAACAAACAAAATTGAAAAAAATCATTTAACATGTATAATAACTTTACCTTATGAACATTTTCCATTACAAACTAGAGTTTCATCATTAGTTTATTTCTTCTTAGAATTAACACAAGCTCAGACCACACTGCTCCTGGGTGCATGCCTGAGGGGATACGCTAAATGGCACGCTGCGCACACCTGCCTAGCCCTTCTTCACTTGTCTGCATAACACAGTGACCGACCCAACAACGGCATGGCCAGCACACTCACAAAGCATACAGAGGACCACACTTGTCACTAGTGACATGCCACAGGGTGAGATAAAGTGCTGATGCTGGGTTCCCTCCCTGGGAAACAGCCTACAAACCGAAGGCGCAATCCTAGCCGAGGAAGAGCTGACTAATTGCTGACCTCATCCCACCCACTGGTGCAACTTCGCCAGGACTAAGGAAAAAGCACACTCCGTGTAACTCTAGGCAGAAGGGATCTTTGGGTCTCTAGATCTGCCATCCATGTTAGATCCCGCCTTCCTGGAGAAACATGTTCTTAGATACAGATTTGTCTGGTCTGACGAACTCCCCCAGGGAAAGGATGCAGGCGTTTCCCACAGTTGAACGTGAGGGTGTTCCCCTCTAGACAGGTAGGAGAAAGTGTCTGCGCTGCCAATCTCTTTCCTTCCCATCAGCACAGAGACTGATACCTGGTCCTCTTTCCCTAAAATTCCCATGTGGCATTATAGGGGCCCCTTGGGAACACTTAAGACCTGGATTTTGGCCCCTCTCACAGGTTCAAAAGCAATCTGAGCTATTCTGGTGTTCACAGCTAGTAGTAATAGCAGTAGTAGTAGTGTTGATTTACTAAGCCTTCTTTCCTCATTGCCAACGGGCTAGGAAAGTCCTAGTGACAAGGAAGGACACTAAGTGGCCAAATCCAAGTGTTCATTTTACTATTTTAAGGTAATCAAGAAAAGAGGGTGCAGTGGCTCATGCCTGTAATCCCAACACTTTGGGAGGCTGATGCGGGCGGATCACTTGAGATCAGGAGTTTGAGACCAGCCTGGCCAACATGGTGACACCCATCTCTATCAAAAAGATAAAAATTAGCTGGGCGTGGTGGCACATGCCTGTAGTCTCAGCTACTCAGGAGGCTGAGGCAGGAGAATTGCTTGAACCCAGGAGATGGAGATGGCAGTGAGCCAAGATTGTGCCACTGCACTCCAGCCTGGGTGACAGGGCGAGATTCTGTCTCAAAAACAAGAAAGAGAGAGAGAGAGAGATGGAAATGTTCACAGCACCTGCCATGTGCCAGGCAGTGGGCTGGACTCTATCCTCGCTATAGTACTTAGTTTGTTCATGAGAAACCCGGAGCTGGGAAGTAATAACTTGGTCAAGGTCATGCTACCAGAGAGTGGATGAAGCCCGCTTCCACTGTGGAATACATCTTTTCTCCTTCAGGGGTGGTGCAAAGAGCTGCCAAACAAGTGATGAGAATGTCAGAGCTGGGCCCCATGAAGCAAGCTCTGGGACGAGGCACTGTTCCAAACTTACCTCCCCTCAAAGCGCTTATCTAGCTGCTTTTACAGGCAGCCCCACCGCATTAACCACACCACGGGCACCAGACACACGCTGCTCGGCACCAGCACTGCGCTTAGTGGTCCGTGGCTTTTGTTTTTCCTAACAAGATCATAAACGCCTTGAAGTCAAAGACCATGCCTTCCGTCTCTTTAGCACCAGGCACAGTGCTTGGCCCCAAACTCAAGTGTTTGTACTTGTTAAATAACCACTATCCAAAATAGTGTTTCCAAGGAAGGTCAGAGGTTTTCACTCATCTCAAGTTACCAGCCCTTTCTGTTGAAGAGGCTCAGTGCTAATCTGAACCTCTTCTCCAGGGAAACAAAGCTCAAAGCTTTAATGCTATTGCTGCCTAGCTGATATTGCTCAATGGCTTCTTTGTGTCAGGTACTGTGTGCTTTACAGGCATTACCTCACTTAATACTTGCAAAAAAACTACATGGTACATCCTACTATTTCCCTTTTCCATGTGATGAGACTGAGGAACCCGCCCATGGTAACACTAAGGTAGCAAATGGTGGAGCTGCATCCAAAGCAGCCTGATGGGGGCAAAAAGGCTTAAGGGAGTTTTTTAATCTCTTAATAATTTAGACTGGCTACATTGGAAGGAAGGAAGGAAGGAAGGAAGGAAGGAAGGAAGGAAGGAAGGAAGGAAGGAGAGAGGGACAAGGAAGGAGGGAAGGAAGAAGGAAGGAAGCGAGGGAGGGAGGATGAGAGGAAAGGAGGTAATCAGTCTAGAAATAGCCACCTCAAGATAGCTGATTGTCACCAAAATATTCCTCAAAGTCATTGCTGGTCCCACATCAGACATCAGGGACCACTGTGCAAAGTGATGCTTCTGTTATACCACTTGAATTTTTTTGCCACTTTAAGTTCTGGGATACATGTGCTGAACCTGCAGGTTTGTTACATCAGTATACACGTGCCATGCTGCTTTGCTGAACCTATCAACCCGTCATCTAGGTTTGAAGCCCCACATGCATTAGGTATTTGTCCTGATGCCCTCCCCTTGCCCGCAACCCCCCGACAGGCCCCGGTGTGTGATGTTCCCCTCCCTGTGTGGATGGGTTCTCAATCTTCAACTCCCACTTATGAGTGAGAACATGTGGTATTTGGTTTTCTGTTCCTGCATTAGTTTGCTGAGAATGATGGCTTCCAGCTTCATCCATGTCCCTGCAAAGGACATGATCTCATTCATTTTTATGGCTGCATTATACTGCGTGAAATCTTAAACTGCAGGTTAAATTGAAACTAAAGACTAAGGCCTTTATTTCAAACATGGCAGAGCACCCCACCCTCCCTGCTAAAGGCACTAGTAGGCAAATTCACAGACATTGAAAGACAGTTCCACAGCATACAATTCATAGCCTTGCCTAAAGCCAGGCCAGGCCTGAACGCCCCCATTTGGAGGTGGAGAGGTGGTAAGACTAAAGCTTAGAACAACAGTCAGGCACACCAAGTAGGCCCTGGGTCACTAGAGAGAACACGACTGTAAATATTTGTTCAAGTTAATGGAGCTGAACAACTGTGCTCCTACCACACCGCAAAGCTGCAGTGACTCTCCCAGACACTAGAGGGTGCTGTGCCCACAGCCTGTGCTGTGCCTATAGCAGAACACACTTGATGGAGAAGTTAAATTCCTCTCCCTGCACACCAACTTTCTTCTTCCATTCTTTTTCTTGCTGATTCTAATTACCCTTACAACTCAGGCTTGTCTCCTGCCCCCTGTCTCTGTAGGAGACATGCTACCTGAGCACAAAACTATTTTAACATCAGCCCGTAGGTTTGTAAATATTGCCCTAAGCACACTGTGGAGACTACAATGTTTCAGAAAGTAATTACAGCATGGTTACTCAAAACCTTGCTCTTCATGTTTCCCTGGCATGATGTTGGCCACAATCCTCTGTTTGCTTAATCTCTTTCTTTCTCTCAGATACTTTTCCAATTATCCTATTTCTCATCTACCAAAGTTCCTTAGGTTCTCTGAGATCCCGAACTTTCACTTTTATCTCCACAGCTCCTTTTCTCCTCATTCCCAAAGGTTTTGTCAAATCAATCATATTCAAGGTTTCCTAAACAGAATTTCTTTTTCTTTTCTTTTTTCTTTGTTTTTTTCTTTTTTATTTTTAGTAACTTATCAGCAGTCCCTGATGTCAGATGTCACTGCACTCAGGCTAGAGTGCAGTGGCATGATCTCAGCTCACTGCAGCCTCGACCTCCTGAAGTCAAAGTGATCCTCCCATCCTCCCGCCTCAGCCTCCCAAGTAGCCGGGATTACAGGTGCGTGCCACGCTGCACGACTAATTTTTTTAAATTTTTCATAGAGATGGGGTTTTACCATGTTGGCCAGGCAGGTCTCAAACTCCTGGCCTCAAGTGATCTGCCTGCCTCTGCCTCTCAAAGTGCTGGGATTACAGGTGTGAGCCACCGTGCCTGGCCGAATTTCTTATCTTTTAATGAGTGACTGTACAAGGGGGTAAAAAGGAATTGAGTAACTCTTCTTTACTATAGTTGTGTCTGTTTTCCAGCATATTTCACTTCAAGTCAGAAATACATATCTGAATCACATATATACTCTCCCTTCTACCCTTTTCAGCTCCTCCCGCTGCCCCACCAGCCCACTCCTGAAGCAACTCATGGAAATACTTCAGGAAGTACCCTCTGTGGGGACACAGGATCATCTCAGGTACCTCTCACATACTATAAGTTATCTTGCTTTTCCTAAATATATATTTTACATTAGCCTAAATATACATTTCCTAGCTATGTTGTCACTGGTGCCATTTCCTCTACTTCCACCTACATAACTGAGTTGATTCCCTTAACCTATCTTGCTTGGGTTGCAGCAATGGCTTCAACACAAGGAGAAATGGAAGGAAGATGCCTTTTCCCTCCTCCAGCCAACCTGAGTGGCACAGTGAACTCAGACTCTAGAACTGCCTGTCTACATGCAGCCCAGGCTTCCCCCACCAGCTGCATGACCTCAGGGTAAGTTATGTAACCCGTGTGCCCCAATTTCCTCCTTCATATGATAATCATGAAAGAGAATGCCGACTCAGTAAATACGTTCGCTGTTATTACAAAACAAGTAAAATCAAAGTTCTTTTTCCATAATTAGCTCATGCTATGGTTGAACCAACCCTGGTCAATCTTGTCCTTCTGATAAGAGTAAAGCACGTTAAATAGAAATTTCAGGAGGCCACTGTTTTGCTCCTGCACTGGGCCCCAAGAGAACAGAATAAAAACCCAGAATGGAGCCACTCATACTAAAGTTCCACGTCATCAAAGCAAAATTGAGTTGTTATATGATCTTCAGAGAAATCAGGAGAGATAACAGCCAAATATCCCAAACAGGCCAGTTTCAGTCAGCATGATAATAAAGTTCCCTCTACTTTAATCCTTACCAAAAAAATGAAAAATTATGACCTGAAGAAACCTCATCT